CAGGGTGCCTGACCAGGAGATGAACTGACAGTTCCATTTCCCATGAGCCCTTTTGACAGGTGGGAAGTTCTATAGGATGAAACAGTGGAGCACAGATCAGTCTGGGAACAAACCTCTGGAGCTGTGGCAGACAGTAATGTGGCTCTGTGGCTTTGACACGGTAGATGGGGCAGTCTGGATGACAACTTGTATGTGGCATTTGACATCAAGGATAGGGAGGTGTTCCTGTTTCAATGACAGATGCTGTGTCTCTGGGCTCAGAGTTTCACAGAGAATTCCAGACACAATCAATGACCTTTTAGCATCTCTATTTTTAACTTTCCAGACACTCACTCTGATAACAGCAGAAGGTCAGGGTTTTGCTCCAAGCATCTATTTCTTGGTCCTGAGCCCTACCTTTGTCTCTAAGACTCTTTCCATTAAAATACACACACCACCCCCCAACATACACACACACACACACACACACACACACACACACACACACACACACAGGACATGATGGCTAAGGACAGTTCCCTGGAGAACTACCCGCCCAGCTGGACAGGACCAGATGGATCACATTCATTCTCTCTGTCCTAGGTGATGAAGTTATGAACAGTAGATGGAAGGGGGGTTTCCGAAGCCTGATGGAATTGAACACCATGACTGGCTTCAGCCTGCAGTCAGCAGTGGTCTGTAGGCACATAGCATGAAGCACAATATCTAATCTGTCTCTAGTCTCAGAGGTGAGAAGCTGGAGGTCCCCACAGCGGTGACATCCCCAATCAGGGGCTGTGAGGAAGGAACTTACCACAGATAGGCCATGGCTCTGGTAATTCAGACATACCTAGGCTGGAGTCCTTTCTCCAGCCCTTGTGACCATCCTACCTGCACCCCAAGTCCTCCATTTATGGGCAGGTCTGGATCTGCTGTGAGGATCTGATGAGACACCTGGAGGTGCTGGCCTCACTCCTCACACAGAGTGCAGAGATGATGTGACCTACCCCTCACAGGCCTGGGTCCCGCTCTCCTGGGTTCTGCTTAGTCCCCTTCCTATGGCTGTGCTAGACCAAAAATGGCCTCAGTGGCCATCTGTGAGTTCCTCCCAGAAACCTCTTTGTGGAGGCCAGAAAAGTCAGGGTGGTGTGTGTGTGTGTGTGTGTGTGTGTGTGTGAGACACTGTTATTTTAGAAATAGCTCTATTTAGATGTGATCTATGTATCATATACTTCACTCCTTTGACATACTGGATTCAGTTTTGTTTAGTATACTCACACACTGAGATACATGACAATCGATTCTAAAATGTTTTCGTCTCCCAAAAAGGAAGCTGGGCTGGTGTGTGTGTGGGGGTGTCTCCTACCCCTGTCCCAGGTGCTGACCACCACAGTGCCCCCCCCATGGTGGGGCGGCTCCTACCCGTGTCCCAGGTGCCCCCCCCATGGTGGGGTGGCTATACCCCTGTCCCAGGTGCTGACCGCCACAGTGCCCCCCCCATGGTGGGGACGCTCCTACCCCTGTCCCAGGTGCTGACCGCCACAGTGCCCCCCCATGGTGGGGACGCTCCTACCCCTGTCCCAGGTGCTGACCGCCACAGTGCCCCCCCATGGTGGGGACGCTCCTACCCCTGTCCCAGGTGCTGACCGCCACAGCGGTCCCCTGTGGTTTTGCCAACTCTGGGCATTTCAGGGAGGATCCACTGAATGGGTTGCTTTCGCCCCTGGGTTCTGCACTGAGCATCCTGTTTCCAGGATTCACCTATACGGAAGTGTGGGGGAGAATCCATTTCCTCTTCATTGCCAAATTATCTCAGGTTCAAACTGCTTTTCCACACAGGCTGCTTCTGCCCACGGGCTGCTCTGTGCCATGAACTCTGCAGTTTGCAAGGAAAGTAGAGAGTTCCCCACCCCCCTTGCTGCAGAGACCAACTGTCTATGGAGAGTGAGACGTGGGCTGTGACCTGGGCACCCTCCAGTGCCTCTGCACCTCTGTTCTCTTTAAATGGAATTATAATGATGCAAAGCTCAGAGGGTGCCGTGAAGAGAGACCATTTAATAACCATCAGATCCCCTGAGACTGCCTGGCACATGGACAAGCTCCTTAAATGTTAAATAATATTCCCCACATTCTGTCTTTAACTAAACT